CCTGAAAGAAGGTATTAGTAGAATGTTTGCCTTGTTACAGAGACACAAGCTTGTTCTGTATATTACACTTCTTATTCAGATTAATAAAGGAAGTACAGAGCTGTCTTATGAATTCTGAATACAACTTATTGTTCTGAAGTTAGATCAGGCTTCTAATCTAATGTTCTTCAATCCAGTTCTGGGCCCAGGTGGCTGTGTTGCCTTCCTTTATGAAGGAGAGGATGAATAGGACACAATCAAGATCTGAGGATAGATTGATTAAAGTAGTAACTATGTATAGTTTGACTTAGTACTAGAAGTCCTTAAAGTACTACTTATTAAAGTCTAAAGGGTAGGCTACATACACTTTCTTTCTAGAACAGGTTGTAACTTCCAGAACAATCAGAACAGGTTCTGAAGAGGCTGAGGGTATGTGATTAGTAAAGGCCTCTTAGATAGAGGTCTACATATATTAAGCTAGTTCTACTTGTAACTACTAATCTAGTAGGACAGTAAGGGTGGCAGTTAGTGTAGAAGGGTTTATGTTTACACTACAAAGGAATTGGCACTAAACTAAAAGGGGTAATGAATAGAAGAAGGGTGGCAAAAGTTTAAGAGGGTTTAGAAAGTTTAAAATTTAAAAATGTAGAAGGGTTAGGACAAAGAAAAGAGATCAACACAATAGTAAGTACTAATGCTCAAAATGTAGGAGAGTTGTAGAGTAGTAATAGGTAGTCTTAATCTAATGTTAGTAACAGTGTAGAGAGGACCTAAAGGCTTAGTAAGAGGACCCAGGCTACAACTATCCTACACAACAGAAATACAGAATGTAAGTACTAGAACATAGTTAGAACTTGTAGAATGGGCAGAGAGAGAGAGTAAGACAAGAGTAGAGTATATAGAGTGAGTCTAAGAGTACAGGACTATCTAGAGTAGACAAGATTAAGACTATAGGACCAGTCTAATCTTGTATACCTATATATACTAAACTACACAAGAGTACTCAGGGAGTATGAGCTACTAAGAATGATAAGTCATAAAGAATGAAAGAAAGGGAAGGTCAAAGATAAAGGTACAAAGAATAAAGGGATGGACAAAGGGTAAGAGACTATAGAATGAACAAAGAATGAAGGAGTAGTCAAAGGAATAGAATGATAAAGTAAGAAAGGGTAGTAGTAAGAGTCAGTACACATATAGTTTATAGACAGTACCCTTAAGGGACAGAAGTCCTGAGTTCTAGTACAGAAGGGTGTAGAACCCTCAGAACTGAAGGTATAAGAGTAGAGAATTGTAACAGTATTACTACATGTCTTAATATTGTGTAGATTGGGAAACTTGACAGTAACCTAGGATCCTGTCTAATAAGGTACTAGGCAAGTGAGTAGAGTCAATGTACTCACAATTTGGCTTTACTGACTGTTGTCTGAGTACAGGACTGCTTTGTACACTATTGTACAACTGTTATATGAGAAGCTAACAAGTTCTAAATTTCTGAGATTTTTTGTCAGATTTTGCATTATAGTAATAGTGGTGGACAAAAGGAAAGGTGTGTTACACTCACAGGGAAGAGGTAGAATGCTAGTATGATTGAGGACAATATGTATTATTGTAGAAGAATAGTATAAATACAACCCAACTATAGAAGAATGATTTTCAGTGTTTGATAGTTGAATGTAGCAGTTGTGCCAGCAACACAGAGTTTGCTAGGGCTGAGTCTGACTCAGTAGACACAGGCACCTACACATTCTAGCCAGGTACTTATCCTGATTCCTATATACTAGTCTATCAATTCTGCTCAACTCTTATTTCCTCCTACCACACAACCTATATTCCTCTTAATACAACTGACACTCTTGCCTTGTTTGACCTTTCTCTCCATATTTACTGTTTTCCTTCACCTTTTTAAAAAATCTCTGTCAATCTTCATGTCTAGTTTCCTACATCTCTAATATTTATCTCTATTATAGTTTTATTTCTCCTGTTTCTGAATCCCTCCAACTTCCATAGAAAATCAAAATTTCCTTTCCATCCTGTTAAACTCCTATACACCTTGTCTCTACACACTGACTATAATTTTTGAACAAATTGCCAAACAGTAATACACTAAATACATTAGTTAGACAGTACAGTACTACAATCTATAAGGCTCTTCTTTGTGAGCTGAATACTCTCTTTTGCCTTTACTGTATAATTAACTTGGACAGATAAAGGTGTAGTATCAACCACCATGTTCTAGTACACTCTTCACATTAGACTATGAATGCCTTTTCCCTGGAGGCAGCACTCAAACTAGTCTGTACAATACAATCACCAAAGACTAGTACTCTACACATAGTGTATATACTTACACATGTAAAATTTCCCACATATACACATACATGTGTATAATTACAGGCATAAACTGGGTCAGCAGGACCCATATACAATACACTACTTCTGTATACAGTATATACAGCATATACACTGTGCCAAATATAACAAGATACTTTACATTAAAATAGCTTATAAAAGTACACTATCATCTTTCAAAACAAATGCTTGATATTACTGAGCTAAGAAAATGTATTGTAGTACTGTTTACACACAGAAATAAGACAGTTGAGT